GGGTAGTAAATATTCAAATAAATGTTGTCCTTCCTTTTCCTTTTCCCCTTCAAACTGGGTGACGGAAGAACACAAAGACAAGACATCATGGGTAAAAATATTTATTGGATGATTCATAATGGGAGATGAACTTGTTCACTGTGCAATATCTGAACACCATATACAAAGCTAAATCCTGAGCTGTTCTCAGTGTCCAACACTCATTCAAAACCAGGATGTTCAGCACAAACCTGAGTCGGTGCTTATAGGTATGCTGCCACTGTTTATGGGTGGCAAATTCTAAACTGACATGTTAAAAAGAGCTGTTCAAGAAATATCACAGTGTTATCCTGGAACAATTTTATGTGTAAGCAAGAAGTAAGTGCCTGGCACTTCTGAGAGCTTAACATAGACTTATTGCTCATTTTGGGCCAGATTGTGGATAGTGCCTCAGGGATACCAGAATACGTTCTCTGTCCTGAGCAGGTACAGCACAGATCATGCAGGCACCATATGAAGTGAAGATGTCAAATCATCGTTGCCTGAGGGTTGGTAGCAGCACAGCAGTATGCTTGCACAAAGAGCTGTATTGTTTACTCTTGACCTTAAAATAATTTGATCCAATACGACATATTAAGTAAAAATGTTTTCTTTCTTCAGGAAATAGTTCTTGGCAATTGCAAACAAGCTTGAAAAAGTATGTACAAAATCGACTCCTTAGCAAATATTCAATGAAAAATTAAGAGTATTATAACATATATTCTCTAGCAAGAAACAACATTTTCACAGTAACACTGTCAAATTAATTTTGCTGGATGAAATGCATTATGCAGGTAACACCCCTGGATTTAAACAGAGTTGTCCTTGGGATGAATTTATCCTGTGTCTATTAGTGTTTGCAAAGGTGTGTGCCTTCGGTTTCTATGGAATTGCTTAATTCTGATATGCAGAATATCAGTGTAACTGAGCTGAGCCATATGAGATGACTTCAATGCAAGGGAAATTATACGAAGCAAAGAAAGTCTGCATAACTTTAAATCCGAGTAAGGTATGCTTTAAATCCAAGTGATGTGTGGAGTCTGCAGAGAATTTAATTTTTATTTTATTTTTATTGCTTTGTACTTTACTCTTTCAAGGCCTCTGAAGAAAAAGAAAACACAGGTGGGTTCTCAAGAATGCATTTCTTGAGAAAACTAATTCATACTACATTTTGTAAACACATGAACACAAAACAGCATTAGATTTAGGTACTAGTGGAGAACACCATTGCCTTAATTAACCCTCACCCTCCTCCCCAGTAAACCCTCAAACAAACAAATGCAACCCAATTAAAATCCTCTGTGATGAATGCCAGTGTGACACCATACTGACTTTGATAATCTGGGCTCGGAAGCTGTGTTGTGTGAGGAAGATGAATGCCCCAGCGTTCAGGCTAAACTCTTAGGGAAATGAACACAAGGTTAAACCGAGCTGCATGAAGTTGTAAGGAGAGAGAACAAAGAGAGTGGGGTTACTCTGGCATCCTTCAGTCACAGTTCCTATGCACTGAACACAGTGAGCACCAGAAATGATCACTTTTGGGTGGCACAGGCCTTGTAGGTGTTACTGTGCAGGGTGAGTGTGGCTGTTATTTGATACCTGATGACAGATGCAGGGTGGGCCAATCTTTAGGGGCAACCTGCGATAATTCAACCTGAGACAAAAATTTTTTTGGCTTGTGGCTGTATGAAAATGCTGTTCATACCCTGGTTATTGCTACTCTTGCCTTCCTTTCATCTTTCCAGTCTGTTTCCTCCTGGTCCTGTGGTACCAGGCAGAGATAGGGACTGGTTTGGGGAGCGCTTTTGTGGGGTGGAAAAGGGAAGTGTCAAAATAGTCTTACATGGATGAAGAGTTCATGCTCTCCCTGCCTCTAGGGTAAATAGTGGTGGGTTTTATGGCTGTTCTCTGCTTTCCTCTACCCTCCATTGGAATAGGAACCAGCTCCTTGGCTTCTTCCCAAAGAATAGTAAGGCATTTTCAAGCTGCATTCTGGGGCAGAAGTGTCATGCATGCATGCTTGTTCCCTTCCTCTCTCTCTGTCACACAGAGTCACTGTTACCTGGAGGGAGGAAATAAGGCCAGAGTCTGTGCTGAAAAGAGCAAGATGCCATATGCCCTGAACTGCCCACTAGTAAAGCTATTGTAGAACAGGGAACTATGGAGAAGTGCTTATATTTATCAGGCCTACATGGGTACCTTTTTAGTCTTCAGTTACTGCTCATCCTTCCTCTTTCTTAGATGCACTGGAAATAATGTGGCCCCTTTTTGCAGGTTTCCCACTTGTGTAGTTACCTTTATTGGTGACTTCATTCCCTGTGAGCTTCTGCATGAGCAGGTACATCCAAGGTTGTCCTTTTGGTTTTGTTCAAAAGTTGATGAAATACTGTGGGAAAGGAAACGTGCTTAACCACAGAATCAGGCATGTGCAGCTGAATTTTTCCTGGCTTTGCTGTTGCCTACATAGTGTGATAGGACGGCCAGGCAGAACCATCACTAAGCCTTCAGAAGCAAAAAAGTGAAATGCTTTGTGTAGTCATATCTGAAGATCACACCATGCCCAGTGCACTCTGTAATCTCATGCCTTTGTTCAGCACAACTCACAAAACAGAGTTACAGAAACACCTCCTGGTAGAAAGCAAGTTGGCAGTGACTGTGGAGGTTATTAGAGATCTTGGTGTCTCTCAGCAAGCTCTAAGATTGTTTGGGTTCTGGGCAGAGCTTTTGCACTGTCTAACATCAGTCACTGAGTAACTACAGCATTTTTTTCTGATGTGTTAAGAGAGGTTGTGCAGGAAGATGGGCATGTGTAGTGTTTTGAGGTTCACAGCTGCTTGCTCCAGTGCTGTGGTCTCATTAAGAGTGAGAGAACCAGACCCCCCACTCTGGGTTACCCAGGGGGGTGATTGAATAGCCCTAGGACTGACTCAGAAGTGGGAGAGAAAGAGAATTTGGAATAAGCATTGATGATACCTTTATCATCATCTCCTTAGTCATCAATTAATATTCCTATCTGGGACATCCAAATCATGTGTAAATCAACACAAAAAAACCCCAAGATGAACTTTCATTGCATCTTTCCATGGAATAATTTGATTTTTCTCTCTCCTTAAATCATCTGTTTCAGAAATCTGTTGTAAGGATAGAGTACACAGTTTTGTTGTTTGTTTGTTTGGAGGATATTGTGGCTCTTTTCATAACTTACAAAAGAGAGAGACTTCCAAAGAGATGGGTAGCTTGAGCATCTGCACATTTTTAATGTCATTTTAGAAATCCTTATTAATACAAATTGATATTTCTGGCTTTGATTCTTTCCAGCACAGGGGAAGTAACTGCTCTAGTTATGTACTGACATAATCATTTGGCCAACGAAAAATGAAGGCTCTGTCCTGAGAGAGGATTTATTTTAATAACCCATTGTTTAATGTGCAGGTAGAATAAATTAATCCTCTCCCATTCCCTCCAAAGGAGGATTTTGTGTTTAACCTTTGGAAGAAGACTGCAGTTTATGTTTGGGAACAGACTTCATATGTTCTAATAGAAATACCACACAACCAGAAAAGGTTCGCTGTGCAGGAATTTGTCTTGGGGGCACAAGAAAAGCTTGAAGAGTTCAGTGGAGGTTGTATAAAACCGCTGGGGAAGATCAGGTGGGAATGGACCTTGGTTATTTTTGAGAACCTTTATGAGAAATTCTCCAGAGGATGTCATGCACTCTATTCATCAGATAACACACTTCAGCCACGCTGTTATCCTGGTTTTGGGTAGGATAAAAGGGACTAAGATGTCAGTGCTGCAGACAATGTATGGCTATAGTCCAAATTTAATTTGTGACAACTCTAGGATGATGAAGTTATTGTTTATCAAAATTAAAGTTTCTGGAGTATCAGAGTGATATCATTATACCAGTTTTGTTCTGAACACATTTACAGCATAATTATTATTGCAGTGAGTTTGTACAGAGAAGTGCTGCTTAATGGAAGCTAAGATTTTGGCCTGCATTGTAAGACTTGACTCAAAGTTGTAGAAAACGGGTTTAATCTTATGAGGAGTTCAGTTTGCTAATGTAATTTGTGAATTATTATTTGAATTTGTGCAACTTTTTCCTGTGTGATGCTTAGAAAGTCTCTGGAGGACTTATGAAGAGGCAGCACAAAAGAATTCTGTTCCATTTTCTGCCTCATGACAGGGTTCTGCTGTTTCTTTTAAAACCTTTGAAACCTTCAAAAAGACAAGCAATCCTAACATTAATTCCTTTTGTAATCTACTATAGAATGGGCATTTGTTATCAAGTTGATGAGAACTACCTCAGTGCATCCAGTGAGGGAAAATGTTGCTGGTGTACCTTGCATGACCTCCATGAGAAGGACAACAATCCTCTGGCACTATCATGGCAAAGAATGCATTGAGCTACCTAATTAGGTACTGAACATTACAGAAAACAGAATTACACTGTCCCTATCCATTTATTGTATATTACTGTCATACCTAAAATGTCATCCTTGTAGAAAGATTCAGAAGTATATCCCATAGAATCAGAAAATAGTTAAGGTTGGAAGGACCTCTGGAGATGATCTAGTCCAATCCCATTCTTAAAGGATTTTCATTTAATTATCAGTTACTTCACTTGAAGATGCATCTTTTTATGAAGGCCTTGTTGTCAGTTTAAATGTTCTGTTTCCTGATGGTTTGAGTTTCTCCTTCTCTCAACAGAAATCTCAAGAAGCATCCATAACACAGAAGGAACTCAGTGAATGTATGCAATAGAAAAGTGAATATGAAGAGAAAGTATGACTTTGTTGAATCCAGTCCTTTGAAAAGTTAAGTCTTGTGTAGCTCCTCAGTAGAAAGGAAGAAATAGCTGAAAACAATCTATTTAATTTGAATTAAGGAAGCTGAGTATTACTGCAGGAACTTAAGAAAAACCCTTTTGACTTCCTGGAAACTGAAAGAAGTTTTTTTGAAGAAGTAATTGTCTCTGACATCACTAAACTGCACAGCGAGTTTGCGGGTGGTTAGTTTGGGGTAAGAGAAGGAAGCAACTCCTTCACAGATAAGCAGGCAATGTATGTGCCTACTTATTCTCCTCTTTGGTTCAAGTTTTGCGGAGAAATTCTTTTGCGGACAGATAACATTTATTTTGCTTTGCAGAAAGAGACACATGCTGTTTCATAAGGATACGCCTGATTTCCAGAAATAACCATGTTTTTGTGGCTTAAACTCTTAGCATTTGGTGTTGCACTTCTGAGACAGGATGCTTTTCTCAAAGGTAGGTAGCAACTGATATTTCTTTCTCTCCTTTTGAACCCTGAGTATCCTCTGTAGATGTAAAACCAATGGAAAACTTTGCAAAGTGGAGAAATAATATCTTGGTTCAGAAATTAGAATACAATTGTATGCAATGGTATCAGAACCTAGATCAGGAAGGTTAATGCATAATGTGCTAGGCTAAAATGTCTTCCGCGTGGTCATATGTGAGAGTTATGTGCACCATTTAAAAAAAAGCCCCCAACTTGTAGCTGTATTTGAAAAAGAGTACATTTAGATCTCTTACGTGAACCTGTTCATTACAGTCTTTCTTTGGCTTCATCTCATGATGCAGTACTTTGTTTTCTGTGCTTAAATCTTTCAAGAAAAAAATCTTCCCATCAGTGTTAGCCACTCCCTGATCTCAGAATCTACTTATAGTTCCTCAAATTTTGATTTTTTTTTAACTGCAATGGGGTTAGTAAAAAAAAAATCTAAATGTTGTAAATTAATCTCTACAATTGGTAAATTGCTTATTTTTTAAAATAGACATCATTTATTTATTTATTTATTTTATAAAAACTGCACCTTAAAGAGTCTTCAGAATGTTTAATTTCCCCATTGTGGGTGAATTTGTCGCTTGACTTTTTTACTTTTATGAGAGAAAGACAGAGCCCAAGAGGATGATCTTGCAAAACATGATAGATGCGACAGATAATATTAGTAGCAAGAAAAGCAATTAATCGTGAGGTAATACTTCATATAAAGACAAAAACTTATCTATGTTTAAGAAAATATTTTCTTCTGAAGAAAATGCAGCATTCTTACGTATATGTACCTTCCATCAGTTTAGCTAGTGATGTAATTGGGGATGGTTGATGGCAGACACAAAGGCTTTTCTCTAGGGTAATGTTGACCCTAAAAAGTGGTTTGAAATATATTTTCTGAAATGGTAGTAAGTTGTATGCAGGGCTGAAATCTCTTTTCATATACATTGAATTTATGCATGATTCTATCCTCATGTCACTATAGTAACTCCAGGTTTATACTGATGTAAGCAACAAAATGATCTGCCTTTAGTTGATAACCAGCTAAGAAGGGCATTTGAAGCCTGAGCATTAGCTCTCTTGTCCTTCAAAGTCTCTGAAGAGAGGCAGCACTGAATAAATCTAGTTGATAGCTACTGGATATTATAAGAAAACAAGTGAATGCTGAACTGTAGAGGAAAAGAACAAAATCTCTTTCTTTTCCTGTCTTTTTTTTTTATCTGCTGTCCTACTTTCCATTTTATAAGTCTTTCTGAGACTTCCTGCTGCTCCCTTTTCTCCAGAAAAGGCAGGTTACTGTCTGCTCTCTCTGCCACCTTCGCAGTCAGTCAACATGTCAGCTAACAGAGAGGGCAGGAAGGTGGATAGACAGGTAATAGTATTTTATTTCAAGTAATAGTTATTTTTTCTGTCCACACACAGTAGTCTAACTAGAGCCAGTTCCTCTCTACATTTACTAAACAGAAGAGCCTCAAAGAAATGCTAAGTTTTAACTCCTCTCTTCTACACTTGAAGCAATTAAGTCTCCCGTGGTAGTATCAAGTACTCAACATCACAGACCTTGTTTTTACCATGTAGTTTGGCACAGAGATTGCTTCTGCTGTCAGAGTGACTGAACGATTGTACTTCATATTTGCTGTGCGGATTACTTTGCCTTGTACCTGTGGGACACTGGGCAGTCTCCTAAGGAGGGGTTTGTTAATGGGGGAGCAGCATTTTGAAACAGTGGCGTAGGCTTTGGTTTTATGGCAATCACTTTTCAGGCACTTGATTGTAAGTGTTGGGTGGGCATCAGGACTTCTTTTGTTATTACTATAATTATTTTTCAAGGGCTTATTGTACCTAGTGATTTTGAAAACTTAGCAGGGGAAATTTTAAGGTTGTCCAACTTCCTCCCCAAGCTCAGACATCCTATAAAACATCTCTTATTTCTTGTAATCACCAAGCCACTTTTAAGAGCATCAAACTACATTAAACCAAACCAAACAAATTAAGTTATAGCCTGCACAAAGGCCTTTTCACTGTGTAAATCCCTCAAATAAAAACTAAGTATCCAACTGTGTAGTGCTATTTCTGGATGTACCTATACATACCAATATATGGTACTAATAAACACCAAACTTGGAGTTCAATCTGTCCTTGTAAACATTTGCATTGCTGAAACATCCCATTAAATTAATCATTGTTTTGTGCACTGTTAGTCTTTCTGTCTACATGAAATAGCTAGCTTTACTAAAATCTTTAGTTGCCAGATGTGTAGTTCTTAAAATCTTTAGTGTAAACTTGATAATATCATACTTTATAGTATCTAGGCTGACTTCCCAACTGAAAAAGTTATCCTAACATACCCGATACAATTCATCAATGCCTGTTTATGCAAAAAAACCCCAAAACAACAAAAAAACCCTTAGCCAATCCAATTAAAAAAACCCCGACAACCCGAGAAATGACCAATGCCAATAACCTCTCCCCCCAAAAAATCCAAAAGCAAAAAAAATTAAACGAAAAACCCCCAACCCAAACCAACAAAAGCTTGAAAAACACTTTTGTTTCCATTCAGAAAAAAGAAATGCTTGCTGGACAAACACTTTTTCCATTAGATCATTATTTCAGGTTCCCACCCTCCTCCACAAAAGTGTTAGCAATTTGACAGCTTTCAAAAGCCTTCACCCAACTCCTGAGCCACTTCCTTTATGCCAGGAAACTAAATAATTGCTTGATAGTTTTGCGTGTGACTTTTTTATTTTCCAAGTTAAAAGTACCAAGCTCCAGCAGTCAGACTGTACTGCTTTTGTCTGGGATAGCATTAATTTTCGTCATAGTAGCTACTATGGGACTTTGGTTTGGATTTGCGCTCAAAACAGTGTTGGTAATGCAGAGATTTCTTCTTTATTCTGTACCATTTATGTCCCACACTATCCAGTACAACCACATTAACAACCACATGACTTCCCACCCTTTGATATAATACACAGATATTATTCACTTAGTCTATCGACCACCCCTGCAAAATGTTCATAAAATGTCCACAACATGTCCATTGAGTCCATTTAGTCCATGACTTTGGGCTCCATGTTGTGGTGGTCACTCAGGACAGGAGAGGTGGTTTGTTGCATGATTATTAGGTGCCAAAGCCAGTTCTGGTCTGGTCCCTGCTGTGCTTGCTCTGCTTCTTGTAAGGATTCTCCTCCACTGATTTGGGTGGTTCCTCTTATATTACATATATTTGATATATATTATATATATTTTATATATATGTCTGTATTATATATATATTTAATTCCTATTATATGCAACTCAAATCAAGGGTTACAATAATTTAAGTGTATTTCTATTAAAATCTCTACCCCACTGCCTACCAGATTTAACATTGCAATGAATTCCTCCCCTTGCCCTCGCTCCAGCTTCAACTTATCTGTAAACCGTCCCTTAGGATTGTACCTGCTCCACGTGTAGCCCTGTCTATGATCCACAGTCTCTTCAGGGCGACAGCTGTTGTTGCATGGATTTATCCACAACCACAGCTTCCTTGGGGGGGCACCTGTTCTACCATGGCCCAATCCAAGGGCCACAGTGCTTTCAGAGATAGATCTGCTCCAGTGTGACCTTACCCACAGCCACCCTCTCTTCAGAAGTAAATGTGCCCAACACGGTCTTAGCCCTGGCTGCAGCACCTCCAGGGATGTTCCTGCTCTGTTGTGGGCTTATCCATGGCCACATGGTTTGAGGTGCTCTCAGGGTGACCTCACGCACAGCGTGCTTCAAGGTGTGTCTGCCACAGCATGGGCAAATCCTTGGGCCACAGTGCCTTCAGAGATGGACCTCCTGTGGCACACTTATAGCCACGAATGCTTTGAGATGTACCTGCTCTGGTACGTGGACTTATTCATGGCCCTCAGAAGCTTCAGGATGTCCTGCTCCCACACGGACTCATCCACAAGTTGAAGTCCCTTCAACTCGAGTTCACACTGGAGTTCCAGCACGACCAGTGCAGCAGCACAAACAGCAGCCATGCTCCAGCCATCTACCAGTCCCTGTGCATCACATCAGAATGTTCCTGGGAAGAGCAGAGTGAGGTGATCAGCAGCACAACAAGCAGTGAAAGCAAAAAGCAGCCACTAATGAGCTCAGACTCTCATACAGTTGAGCCCAGGGCAAGCATAAGAGCCTGCCCAAAGCAGCCAAACAGCAATAATGGCTATAAATTCCATCTAACATATTCCAATCAAATCTATCATTATCTCAAAGCCTTTGAGACCCATATTGGGGGCCAAAGAGGGCTGTTGTTGTTTGGCCCCGGCTGGCAACTAAACCCCACACAGCCTCTTGCTCACTCCCCTGCCCCAGTGGGAGGGAAGAGAGAATCAGAAGGGTAAAAGTGAGAAAATTCATGGGTTGAGTTAAAGACCATTTAATAGGGGAAGAAAATGAAGAAATTAATTCCCTGCCTCCCCTGGCAGGCAGGTGTTCAGCCATCTCCAGGAAGGCAGGGTTCATCATCGTAATGGTTACTTGGGAAGTCAAAAGCCATCACTCCAAATGTCCCCACTTCCTCTTTCTTTCTTTCCCTGGCTCTGTATACTGAGTATGATGTCATATGGTATGGTACTTTGGTCAGTTGGGGTCACCTGTCCCACCTCTTTCCTCTCCCAGATCGTTGTGCACCCTCCTCGCTTGTGGGGTGGTGTGAGAAGCAGAAAAGGCATTGAATGTGTAAGTGCTGCTCAGCAATACAGAAAACTTCCCTGGATTATTAACCCTGTTTTTCATCACAAATCCAAAACAGCCCCATGCTAGATAATGTGAAGAAAATTAACTGTACCCCGACCAAATCCAGCATACAAGTGAAATCTGGCTGTGCAGTCTCCATGCCCAACAGCTGTGGAGGTTTCCAGTTGGAAGTGTTATGTTTTCTTTGCACAGACATCAGCATAGCTCATCCTATGGCCTTGATTTTCTGTGAAAATCTTTCTCA